AAATAAAATAATTCTTTAAAAAAAATAAAAGCACAAGGACAATAAACTCTAGAATCAAACATGAGTGGAAATACTTTGTCACTTACTAGGTTATCCTGGTCAAATTACCAAACATCTGTATGATGGGACTTCAAAGAGTTCATGGAAAAATGAAATTAAAGTATGAGGTTACAAAAAAATGTAATTCCAGGGACCAGCAGTTGGCGTAATGGCTGTTGCTGGACTCCCATGTAGTCGGTGGTTCGAGTCCCAGACCAGGTGGCTTAAACTCACACTGGGTGCGTGTGTGTGCACACACAGGATCCTGAGAGGAGAATGGAGAAGGGATTACGGCATAGTCATACCCCCTGGGGGGTGATTTCTCGTTTTCTGTCTCTCTGGAGAGCGCATGCATGCTATAGCAAAAACCTTTCCCCCCAAAAAGTAATTCTATGCAGTTTTCATTATACGTTTGCCACAAACTTTTTGAAGACTCCTATTATCTCATTTGCATCACCTATAAAACAGTAATACTTCTACCACTGGAAGGATTAAATAACACGGAGTACTTAATACAAAGCCTGACTGCAATCTGCAGTTTAGCTATTTTTAATATCGTGATTGGCAGTCTTGGTGTAATGGTTACATTGCTGGACTCCCACATGGCCGACTGTGGTTTAAGTCCCAGTTCCAGAGGCTTGAAACACGTTGCGTTCAGATGCGTGTGCATGCATGCAGTATGGCCAAGATCCCGAGACGAGAATGGAGAAGGGATTGCGGTGTGGCTATCCCCTCTGTGGGGTGATGTCTTGCTTTCTCTCTGGTGAGTACACATGCCCTATAGGAAAAAAATCTCTAAACAAACAATATAATGATTAGCAGTCCACTTGCAAGGTCATAAAATTTAGATGTTTCCTGAAAGACAAGACCTCAAAGAAACTAGACCCTAGTTTTCATATTTTTAAAAAAGATTTATGGGAGCAGCAGATGGCATAATCGTTCCATCACTGGACTCCCACATAGTCAACTGTGGTTTGAGTCCTGGACCCTGTGGCTTAAAACTCATGCCAGGTGTGTGTGTGTGTGTGCCCAAGATTCCAAGAGAATGAAGGGATTGTGGTTTGGCCATCCCCCCGGGGGTGGAGGGTGATTTCTTGCTGTCTCTCTCTAGTGAGTGCACACATCCTATAGCAAAAATCTCTTTGAAAAAAATTGTTTAATTTTGTTATCATTTTTAACATTTGACCAGAGAGAGCCAAAGGGAAATTGAAAAAGCAAGCTGCCAGGTCCAGGACTTGAGCCACAGTTGGCCATGTGTAAATTCAGCAATCCTAACTGCCATGCCACCTACTGGCCCCATAGCTTTCGTATTTTTTAAAATGACCACTGGGGTAGACAGGTGGCACAGTGAAGGTGCTGGACTCCCACATGGCCGACTGGTTCAAGTCCCGGACCAGGTGGCTTGCTCTCTCTGGTCAAACTGAATAACAAATAAAATTAAATAATTCTTTAAAAAAATTTTTTTCCAGGTTTTTGCTATAGAGCATGTGTCCTCACCAGAAAGACACAGAGAGACAGAAAGTGAGAAATCACCTACTCCCAGGGAGGATGGACAGGTCGCGCAGTCCCTTCTTCTCTAGGTATCTTGGGCACACATGCACATGCGCCCGGCATGAGTTTAAGCCACTGGGTATGGGACTCGAACCACGGTGAACCACATGGGAGTCTAGTGACATAGCCATTACGCTAACTGCTGGTCCCCAAAATTTTATAATTCTTTAAAAATATTTTAAAAGTAGAAAATAAAAATTACTAGTTAAGATTGCAGTTCTAGACATCTGGGTCCTTTCCAATTACTTTTTCTCCAAAAGATGCCTGGGCCTTAGCTTATGCTGTCTACAATACAAACTTCTTTGTGGTGGTATTCAGTTGCAAAGAACAGAATTATAAACAATAAAATCAAAACTCTAGGAAGGTCATGAGGAGAAGAATTGACCACACCAAAACTATCTTGAGAGAGTGCCAAAGCCAATGATAAGAGAGCTCTACACATCAGAGGAAATCAAACTATAAAATTCAACGCTAGCTAAAGGAATAGTAAGGTGAAGTCTTTATCCTGGGATCAGAATGAGATGGGTTACTTGAGACAAGGATATCTTAGTGGCTTACACAACATGTTTAAGGGTCTGCACAAGCACACATGCATACCCAGATGTTTTTATCTACATAAAGGCCAAGGCAAGGGAATGGTCAGGGCAATGACGAGAATACAACAGTAAAAATGTTCCTAATTAAAACAACATTTACATAAATGTTCCCAGGATTCTTATATCAGAACATACTTTAGTCTTTTATTTTACCAAAGATTAAGCCATCCAACTATATAACACAGATAAAACAGAAGTTATACCACATAAACCAGTATGTACCTACACTGTGCAGTGAGAGCAATCAAAATCAAGGTTGGATTATAATTCCACTTGATTCTAAAAACCAAGTCTATTTGACAATGGTTTGAAGCAATAGAACTTTTACTAGATTCCCCCTTTTAAAGAAAAAACCCAAGGAGAGATGATCAAGCACAAATGATCACTTCATGCATTTTATTGATAGTCTATATTTTAAATCTGCAGTATGACATCTTACATTGGGGAAAAGCTTCTTCCTAAAAGATAACTATTAATAATCAAACCAGCTTTAATATGACTGACCTTTCAAGGTCTTGTTTTGCATTAAACAAGTTAATTTTTAGCAGGTGTAAGAGCACTGTACAAAAAAGAAAAAAAAAAAAAGAAATCCGGGTACATTCTCAAAATTTATTACAGGGCTTCCCAACCAGGAGTCTGCTGGATAGATATTGAAGGGAATTATGTTCAGGTTGAAATTAAAAGAAAATGAGAAAACAGATAAAGCAGGCCAACCAAATTTACTTCACTTTGTGCTCCTCTTTGCTTTTTTGAGTCTCTCCCAGAGGTCAGGAAGCCCTGGTATAACAATCACTTTAGTCTATACAGAACATACATTTATGTGCTTCATATTCAAAGACGTAAAGGCAGCCTTTGTTAATGTTCTCCCTCCAAGTTCCTTCAGGTTCTTACAGTCTTCAGAAAGCTTTCCAAGAATGCTGCCCAGTCCTTTATATGAATCCAAGTAAACATCTATACCAAAGCAGCTTTTCCTGGGAGAAGATAACAGGCACACATACACATAACCAGGCAAACTGCGTACCTACTCAATTTGATACCTGATCACATGGCCCTACATCTTCAAAAGCAGCACTGGGACAAATGGAGCTATCAAGAGGTAAAATCCAAACATTGGACAGTTAAAACATACAAATCCATCAGTTAAAAGAATGTTAGTAATGGGCCACCAAATACAGAGTTTAAGGCTGGGCAGCTGGTTCAACCATACCTTGGTACTGGAATACATCTGCAAGATGAGGAACAGATAGAGGAACCTTTTACTAATGAGGCACAGTGGTATGATGGGGCTCACTTTAACTGCAAGTCTTTAAGACATCTACCATTCAATCCAAGTGACAATAAAGTATCTTGTGGAACTTTAGGTAAACAAATCTTAATTTAAAAAAAAAACTACTGTAATTTTGATTACTTGAGGTATCTATCCGTTCCAGATTTGAATCAAAACCTATATAAGCATTTACAGAATCGTAAAACTGATATAAAACTGATAAAAACTGTTTGGTTATTATCCCTTTAGAATTCTAACACCCAAGTGAAAGCTCTGTTCTATGCTGTAAACTTTTATGAAATCACTCACTTGGGAGTTTTAGATAATATTTCAGAACTTCCTTAGTTAAGGACAAGAATTCTTAATTTCAGAATGCTAAAAAATGTAAAGGACAGTAACCGAACTCAGAGTTGTTCTTTAGTCGCTTATTAAAAATCTGATTTAAAAATAAGTAAAATATTAGTTCCTTGGAACTTGTACTTTTACTTTCCAAATGAAGCATATTAATGTTAATTTACATTTTCAATTTTTTTTCAAAAGCACACAATTTACAAGTTAACTCAATGAATCACAACACTGTTACTGAATATTAAATATACTGAATTATACTATACTTAATTAAAAAACCACACCTGCCACTACCTTGTGCCTTATCAATCTCGCATTACTAAGGTTTAAATAAAAAACCCACCCCTGACACTAACTTGTGCCTTATCAATCTCGCATTACTAAGGTACAGAATACTTCAGAAAGTAACAATCAGTGTAGTCTTATAAGACTAGGAAAGAATAAAAGTGCCCTGCACATGTGGCTTCTATGTATTTATTATTGGTAAAACATCTGATAGGGAAGCCAGTAAAATAAACTTTTTAAGAAGTCAAATAAGGCAGATGATTTTTTTTTTTATTCACAAAAGAACAAAGGAGAAAAAGGGGGGGGTAATAAAAATACCTCCATCTTTAAGAGAAAATTATCCACAACCACCACCAGGTGCCACTGTTTCCTAGCAAGCTGTAAAAATGGCCTTTCAAAAGGTATTATGCAACATTTACCTCCTTATCACCACATGGTTATTTTGGGAACTAACTGAAAGTCATGGCTGATGCTTGACCCATCTCATGTTGTGGACACCTGGGAAGCAGGTGGTTATATACAAAGCATATTAATGATAAATAACCCTTTGTAAATATGAGACACTGACACTAGGAGAGAATACTTGGCACAGAAAGGACACATTTTCCAGGGTGGGGTAAGAGGAAACATTACTTGAAGGAACTAACACTTTTAGCTAATCAGTTTCATCTTAGTCTGGATGAATTCCAATAATCATGTTCTTAAAGAATGTGTCTATCTCCTGGTACTAAAATTCTTATGAACTGTACAATTACCTACATCCCAACATTAATGTGAATTTGATCCTCACCTCCATTAATACCACTGAAGTAAAACTAATGTGTTCTTTTATAAGCAAATATTCCATATTCACATGGGTATCTCCTAGTGTTGCCACAGATAAAGTCTGCAAACTTTAAAAAACATAACTTCTCAATTTGGTTTCTAGTACTAATAAATCTCAACCTTGTCAGCTGCTTGGAGTTAAACAAAACACTTCAAACATATTAGATTAGTAAGTGAATTTTTTAAAAAAATCTGAAATATTCAAGGAAATTTAGGTTTTAGTACTTTCCCCCTATGCTTTGAACAATGTAATCTCCCAATATTGTTTTTTATTCTTATTACTGCATGAAGTTCAAACTAGGTCTTAAAGACAGAACTTTTCTGTAATAAAGAAAAAGTGCAAAGATACAAAATGAAATGTAAAATCTTTTGCAAGAAAATGCTCCCTCAAGAATAGGTGTTAGGATGCCAGTGCAGAAAAACAGGATTTTGTTCTCCACTGTACACCTAACACAAATGACCTTGCCTTCAATGTCCACAATGAGTATGTATTGGTCATGGACATCACAAAATAAAAAATTAAGTAGCAAATTCCACTAAATATTTGTAATTCCTTCTACACAATCTGATGGAAATTAGTGAGTGCTATTGATAAAGGTGATCGCATGTACATGTCAAATATGTGCACATTCTACTGAAGGCTAAAAACTTAAGTCTATTTCCAGTGTTTATGAATAACTTCAATACCTACATTCATAACCAGCATTTTGCTTGAGTTACCTCTTAAACTTTAATACTTCACAAATGAGCAATACATCTTGGGAGGTTAGGGAGTTGTTGTCAGTTCTTTTATGTTTAGAATGTGCTGTAGTTGTTTTTAAAGTATTTTAAATAAACACCCCAGTAACAATGGACCATCTTATACAAAGAGAAAAAAGGATTTGTTTCTAACCAATCAGGACTACCCTGCAGATCTGAAAACCGTAGATTACACCCTTAAGAAAGGAGACAAGGAGGCTCATGAATATAAAGAAATCCTGACTTTTACATGGACAACTTTTAAAAAAGATAAAATGTATTACACAAGCGCCATAAACAGTGAAATCTGCTTATATTAAAAAAAATAAGTGAAGCTTTGTTTGGACATTATTTTCTTGCAAGAGCAGTACATATCCTTAGTAAACAACTACCATATTTACAATTTAAATTTCCTTGATACTTAGGTAGGACTGAAAGCCAGAACACATGAAAGAATGAGCTTTGAAATAACCTTTATAGCTAAGTTGATAACAATGAAGGTAGCCAGATAGTTCCTAAAGTAGATTTATTTTGTAGAGTATTTGATAATGTCTGGGTAGTTAGCTCATTTTGTTAAAGGCCAAGGACATGATCAATCCTTCTGTGGCCTGTTAGCTTTTCCCAGAAAAACAAATATCTGCTCCACAGTCAAAAACTAATCCTAACCCCAATGGGCCTCAAAAGAGAAATTAGGCAAGAGTAGTGAGGTTATCATGAATCTATTCTTACTACTAAGAAAACAACATAAAGTGCATGTCCATAGATAGCGAGTCAGCAGTCTCATCTTCAAATATGGGCAGCACAATTAAAACTTAAATTCCAAATAGCCCAACATGACTCACCTTCAACAAAGGGTTAAAATCCCTTAATTCTTCAACTGATCTCTAAATGTGAGATGTTAGGTCTGTGTTAACAGTACTGAAATATCAGCAAGTGTGTACTGGTACCTTAAATGCAAATTTTGAAAGCAACATAAATTTAAGATTTTCCTATTAGCACATACATCTGTACTGTACCACTCCAAATTCTTATGCTAAAGTGATTTATAGTCTCTTTCCTTTTTTTTGAGGAGCAGACTTATAAAACATTAATTTAACTTGTGCTAGGTGGTAGTGGTTTGTTTTTCTTAAACCAAAGTTCTGCCAAATTTGGTGATTTTGTTTCTTCTATTCAAATAGGACAGCACTTTCAAGCTGCTGTTCTTACTATATGAAACCAGTTCACATCTGCCTCTTACTGCCTATTACTTTAAACTCTTCAGAGCAGTTTTCTTTATACTTCCCACCTTTTACATCCTGCCTAAATCCAAGTTGAAATACACAATGCTTATTGTTTTTTAATGCAGTTTGATTCTGCACTGTCCTTTTTTGCATGTCACAGTAGCTGTTCACATACATTAAATATTATAGATATGTTCTGCTCTTGACATCTACACACTCATGAAAGCAGCTTTGTACTTTGTCTGGTGTGTATTTTTCCTATGTTGGCTCACAAAAAGCAGTTTTCTCATTTCTAAGCATGGTACTTTACAATTTTTAATGCATTAATACAACAGTGCATTGGAAAAGTACTGAGCCTCTACAAAATAGCTTTACATTTTTAAACAAATGAAATGTGATTTTTTTTTCCACTTACACAAGCATAGGCTTTTTTAATATTTCCACAAGATAAATATCTCGATTAAACTATAAGCTCACTCTACAGTGTGCCACAGTGATGGGCTTAGGAGATAGTTATACACTTAGAAGATCCTAACCTTAGTGTTATTTACACTGACATGTCCAGTATCACCTAGTCTGAAAGAAGAACAAACAAGATTCAGGATGTGGCTGAATTTGTGTCAACTAATAACTGGGAATGATACAGCTTTAATCACTTCTGATAAACACACTGTAACTTAAGTCTAAATCGCAAATTTCCTTTGCCCCTCTCTCCTACAGCATGGGAAACTCTTAAAGATAATATGAAACAGATAGGAGCCATTGCTAAGGCAGATCTTTTAGATAACAAAGGAGAAACTGACAAGTATATATGGTAAAATATCAGTAAGAGATGCTATCAATCCAACTGGCACTGAAAGCAGATTTTTAGGTCTCAAAAATGTTGCTTTTTAAATATTTCCTTTTATTCTGGAACAGAAATTGGAGATGAGACAATGATTCCTTCGGAAAGCAATGACTCAATTCAGGTTATTACTTTACATTTAAGCACCACTCAAAAAGTGGACATAAAAGTTTCCTGTTAGCCCATCACTTTATCAGCTACACAGCCGAGAGTTCGGATCTTAATTACACAACGCTTTCTCTGTTACCAGACGCTAAGACTGCTCTGCGACAAATAGGACAGGTAGAATTCTCAGATAACCAGCGATCGATGCAGTGTACGTGGTACTCATGGGAACAAGGTAGTTTACGAAGTTTGTTGCCTTCTGTATATTCTGTAATGCAAACACTACAGGTTTTTAATGCATCGTTTTCACCAAAACTTCTCATTGCCAAGTTGTCAATTTGTTCTTTGGTGAGTCCTCTAGGTTGGTCATCATCATCCTCATTTAAGAGGAAAAACTGAGCTAGACTAAGGAAAGGCAAAGAGCCACTTTCATCAAATGTGACTGGGGCCCTATGTCGACCCTCTCGCCTGGCACCTGATGATGATCCCTCATTACTGCCTTCAAATACCTCTGAGCTAGTTTCTGAACCTTCACCACTGGAACTGGAACTAGGACTGGAACTGGAACTTGAACTGGAACCAGAACTGCTACTACCACCAGAACCCCCTCTTCCATTCCGTGACTCTGCCCTGTCTGTGTTTCGACTTGGCACTGAGCCACTAGGCTCTGAATCACTATCACTGTACATAAAGTAGCTCAACTCACCAAAGCCTGTCATTATCTGCCTTAACATTGTCTGAATTGCAACAGATGTAGTCTCACTTAGCCCAGTATTTAAGATTCTACGAATAGGAATTCTGATGGTACTGACATAGGTTCTCACACCTGCCCGCTCAGAACGTGAAAACGTACGCCTAAAACCTCCTCGTTCACTTTCATAAGTGACAGTGTTGTTTGGTGTCTGGGACCTTGACCGAGTTCTGCTTGCTATGCTATCTCTTTGCCGATATTCTCCAGGACGAACTCTTCTTACTTGAAGATCAAGGACGATGGTTGGTGGTCTCTGTCCTGATCCTGTAGATTCACCATTGCCAGCTGTGTCTGAAGAGCCTGCTCCTTGAGAGACATTTCTTGTTCCAGAAGCTGCAAAAAGACCTCTACTTAACAACTCAGGTCCACTTATTTGCTGTCTCAATGTCACATGGTGACGAGTTCTAGAACTTCCCTCAGTTTCATTTACCAACGGATGCTCAAAAGTTTGAGATGAGATACTATGATGAGATCGTCGTGGAATCTCACTCATAGGGTGCAAAGGTGACCTACTTCTTTCAGCTCTTGCTCTGGTTCTCCGATGGTCTGGGCTCCTACTTCTTGCCCTCCTCTGACCTCTAGTAGGTGGAACTTCTCCTGTTAATGCTTCAGTTGAATTTTGTTCTGATCTAGATGGCCTTGCCAATGTTGGTTCAGAACGTGGATTTTCCACTTGCCTTTGGCTGTTCTCTGCGTTTTCTCCACTAGAACGTCTTACAGATGGCTCATTTTCATTTTCTGGATTTTGGCTCCCATTATTACGGTTAACATTTATCTCTAAACTGAATCTGAAATCACCACTGTTTGGATTAGTCCGGCTCACTGCTCTCCAAGATTGGTTTCCTCTCTGCCCACTTCTTGTTGTATTTCCAGTTTGTCTGACAGAGTTAAGCCAGTCTATTATAGAGTCACCATTAGACACATCATCTGACGAGTCTCCACCTGTTTAAAACAAAGTAAGAGGAGAGGGAGAAAAAGGAACTACTAAAATTAGAACAATTATATAACAGTGCTCTGAAACTAAATAATTTTAAAATCCTAACAGACTTCATATTTACAGATTTTTGTAAATTACATTGTAGATTTGTAAGTAAAGACAGGGCATTTTCAATTCTACTTGCAAAGAACAAGCTAATACTAAAGAAATTTAGAAAACTATTTTTAAAATGGATCTGAAAAAAATGCTATTGTCAGAATTTTACCACTTATGGAGCCTAGCATACTACTGTGGGACTCTCAGAGGACTTTTTTTCAGTCTGCTGTCAAAAACACTAACATAATTAGAAGAGGTAAACATTATTTCTAAGCTTCTTAAGTGCCTTTGATAACTCAGGAGCTTATTTTAAAATATAAGACTACTGTAGCTACAGCAAAAATATAAGAAAAGGTTTTTAAGTTTAAAAGTACCTGATTATTTCTGAATGTTATCCAGATTTTACTCACATGAAACTGAAGATCAGATCAAATGAATATATACATATTTTTAATGTGGAGTTGGGACCTTTTATTACCTTTTTTTTTGGAGAGGTTTTTGTTATAGGGCGCTTGTGCTCGCCGGAAAGACAGAGAGACAGAAAACAAGAAAGCACCCCCCAGGGGGGGTGGCTATGCCACAATCCCTTCTCCATTCTCCTCTCAGGATCTTGGGCATGCATGCACATGTGCCCAGTGTGAATTTAAGCCACTGGGTTCAGGACTCAAACTGTGGTTGACTACATGGAAGTCCAACAACATAGCTATTACGCTAACTGCTGGTCCCAGAGCAAATGAATATTCTGAAGTTAGCACAGAACATACAATGGCATGTTCAAAAACCAAGCTATTACCATGCCTCTTAGGTTACAGTCAAACCCCTTACTTCACACTTGAGAGAAGTACCAGACCTGAGGTTAGAGCACTATTTCTCAACAGCAGAACTACTGACATTTTGAGACATTTAAATAGGCCATTTCTCATTGTGTCACAATTAACACAAACATCCTAATGGTGAGGCCAAAAAAAAAAAATATGCTGACATTCTCACCAAATATCAAGAAAATACCAGTTCTTGCTGTCTCTTTTCTTTCTTTCTTCTTTTTTTTTTTGAGAGATTTTTGCTATAGGGCGCGTGCGCTCGCCAGACAGATAGAGAGAGACATAGAGACAGAAAGCAAGAAATCACCCCCCACGGGAGATGGTCACACCACAATTCCTTCTCCTCCATTCTCCTCTCGGGATCTTGGGCATGCACGTACACGTGCCCGGTGTGAGTTTTAAGCCACCGGGTCCGGGACGCGAGCCGCGGTCGACTACATGGGAGTCCAGCGACATAGCCATTATGCTAACTGCTGGTTCCCAATCTTGCTCTCTTTAAAAAAAAGATTTATTCATTTAATTTTATTATTATTTATCTTTATTTTTTTGGAGAGGTTTTTGCTACAGGGCGCGTGTGCTCGCCAGAAAGACAGAGAGACAGAGAGATAGAAAGTGAGAAATCACCCCCCAGAGGGGATGGCCACGCCACAATCCCCGCTCCTCCATTCTCCTCTTGGGATCTTGGGCACGCACGCACATGCGCCCGGCCTGAGTTTAAGCCGCCGGGTCCAGGACTTGAACTGCGGTCGGCTACATGGGAGTACAGTGACATAGTCATTACGCTAACTGCTGGTCCCAATTATTATTTATCTTCAATTTGACCAGAGGAAGACAGAGAGTGAGAGAAAGTGAGAAAGCAATCTGCCTGGTCTGGGACTCGAACCACCGTTGCCCACATGGGAGTCCGACCCAACCACCATGCCTACTGCCAGCCCACCAGTTCTCTTTTATGAGCAGTTACTTAGCCCCAAATTAATTTCTGCCATTTCTAGATGTGGCTGACATTTACTATTATAATATAACTATCATTCCATCCTCTACCCACCATCCCCTAAAGCAAAATATACCTCTATTTTCATCTGAGTTTTGTGGTGGCGGACCCTCTTTAATTTGCTGTAGTCTTCTTAGCAACTCTTCCTCAGTACTTTCACCTGAAAGTTTAAAAATTCTGCCGAATTACACATGAAAATCAGCAACTCATACAATAAACACAAACCACAGTGTAAAGATGTGTTTAGGGGCATAACCATCAAACACTTCATCAAGGACTCAGTTATCTAACACACAATGGTTAGAAAAATGAAGATTTTCCCCCTTTTTTCTCAGTTTTTTTTTTTTTAGAGGTTTTTGCGATAGGGCACGTGCGCTCGCTAGACAGACAGAGAGACAGAAAGCAAGAAATCACCCCCCAGGGGGGATGGTCACGCCGCAATCCCTTCTCCTTCATTCTCCTCTTGGGATCTTGGGCACGCACACACACGTGCCTGGCGTGAGTTTTAAAGCCACTGGGTCCGGGACGTGAACCACGGTCGACTACATGGGAGTCCAGTGACATAGCCATTACGCTAACTGCTGGTCCCTAAGTTTTTGCTATAGGGTGTATGTACTCACCAAAGACAGACACAGAGACAAAAGGAAAGAGAGGGAAAGTGAGAAAGTCCCAGGGGGGATAGCCATGTCATTAAACCCCTCTCCTCCATTCTCTTCTCAGGATTTTGCTTATACATGCACACATACCTAGATGATTTTTAAACCACTGGGTCCAGGACTTGAACTACAGAATCAGCTATGTGGGATCCAGCCACCTTAACTTCCACACCACTTGTTGCCCCCAAGTTACATTTTTTATACATTATAATTTTGCTTTTAGTTTTGCTATAGAGTGTGTGTGCTCACTGGAGAGAGGGAGAGTAAGTTACTGTCCCCCAGAGGGGACAGCCATGCTGCAATCTCTTCTCCTCTCAGAGTTCTGGGCACGCATGTACATGTATCCAACCTATTTTTTAAGTTTCTGCATCCAGGACTCAAACCACTCAGTATGCCATGTGGGATCCAGGCACTTTAACCTCTATGTCACCTGGTGGTCCAAAGCCATATTTTAAAAATAAGATCAACGTTCAAAACATGTTTTTATTTATCTATCTATCTATCTATCTATCTATCTATCTATCTATCTATCTATCTATCTATCTATCTTCAATTTGACCAGAGAAAGATAGAGAGAAGGAAGGTGAGAAAGCAAGCCACCAGGTCTGGGACTCGAAACACAGTTGGCCATGTGGGAGTCCAGCACCCTAACCACCACACCACCTGCTGGTCCCAAGACCAACATTTTTTAAAAAATGAAAATTAAAAAACAAGAAAGAGAACTAGTCTGGTGGCACCATCAGTAGCAAACTGAATTACATGCTAGAAGTCACATGGTTGACTGCAGGTCTGGATCCCCAGATCAGCTTGGAAACACAAGGGGCAGCACATGTGGTTCAAGGTCCTGGTGAGCTCAATGGCTGGGGAAAGGAGACTGTGCTATCTCATACTCTCTCTCCTATGCACATGCTATCATGAATAAAATAAACTTTAAAAAAAGGGAAGAGACCCAGCTGTTGTGGTACATGCAGGAAGGTGCCACTGCAAAGTAGCTAAGGCTACATGGGAAGCTGAGGTTCAGTTCCCAATCCAACCTAAACACAGTGGGGATGATGGTGTACACCTGTAGTTCCAGTTAACTTGGAGACTGGGGCAGGAAGATTCCAACATGATGAGACTATCAAAAATACCAATCCTCCTCTCTCTTCTCTCCCACCCTGTGTGCACTGTCTCATTAAAAATAAATAAATAAAATGGGGACCAGCAGTTGGTGTAATGGCTACATTGCTGGACTCCCATGTAGTCAACCGTGGTTTGAGTCCTGGACCCAGTGGCTTAAACTCACGCTGGGTGCATGTGCGTGCATGCCCAAGATCCGAAGAGAACAGAGGAGAAGGGATTACGGCGTGGCCACCCCCCCACCCCACGGAGTGATTTCTCACTTTCTGTCTGTCTCTCTCTGGTCTTTCTGGTGAGCACACACACCTATAGCAAAAACCTCTCAAAAAGAAAGAAAGAAAGAAAGAGAGAGAGAGAAAGAAAGAAAGAAAGGGGAGAAAAGAAAAGACAGAAAACCAGTGACTTTTAATTATCTGAGATAAAAACCAAGGTGTGCATAGAAACTTAGATAAAATTAACTTCTTGGGTTGACCTCATAGTGCAGCAGTTAAGTGCTGTGCAGAGGAAGCTGGGTCCTACATAGCTGACCAGGGTTCAAATCCTGGCCCAAGAGGCTTACACACCAATGTGCACACACGACTAACATCCTGACAGAGACGGGAGAATTAGAGGAAGAAAGGGCTGTAGCATGACCAGGGCCCACTGATGGATACTTTCTTTCCCTCATGCACACATGTACCCTCTGGCAAAATAAAAGAAAAATGAAAAAAACTTCACTTCTTTGGGAATATTACCACTTACCATTATTTAAGTGTCTTTCTAGTTTACAAAGTGCATTTGCAAACAATATCAATTTTTAAAAACTGCAACTCTGTGAGACAGATATTGTTGACCCATAGTTTAAAATGAGGAAATGGGCTAAGTGAGAGACTGACCTGCCACAGATAACAATTATATAGGGTTCAGAACTCCCAACTAATGCATTCTTATTCAAGTGTTTAAGACTTATTCACTTTCAAAATTTAAGCAACTACACAAAGGTGAAAAGAGGAAAAAGACAGATACTGGATTTTATCTATCAGCAGAATCAAACTGAACTTAGTGAGGTAAAACAGTATAAGCATGAAGTTCTTTTTAAGAGAGATTTTTGCTATAGGGCACACGCGCTCGCTGGAGAAACCCCCTGGAGGGGATTTCTCCTCCATTCTCCTCTTGGGGATTTTGGGTACACCCACACATGCACCTAGCGTTAGTTGTAAGCTGTCAGATCTAGGATTCAAACCATGGTCAACTATGTGGAAATCCAGTGATGTAACCTATATTATCTGTTGGTCCCAAGCATGAAGTTCTAATTCCATTTTACCTAAGGTTACCACTGGAGGATTACAATTGGGATGTATTCAGGAAATCAGGGATGACAAAATAGAGTAAGTCTGTCCAGGGACCTGAAGTTCCATTAGGTATTCCACACTTGGATCCATGTGTATTAAGTTAAAGAAAACAAAGAACAAAAAGATGGCTGTTTCATTCTTTTCAATTTGGCTCATTAAAAATTTATAATTCATGATTTAAATATCTCTAATAAAGGATAATTTCAAATTGCATGAATAGAATCAGGTAATGAGTAAAGCAGTAAATATCATTCTATATCCCTTGTATTAAACAAACATATTTCACAGTGCCTAAAAAAAAACAAATTTTGAAAACAGGTTAGTGTATTTTTATAGAAACCCACCAATTTACATACATAAAACTGTAAGTTATATGCAGCATACCTGGGGTGCCTAGTAAATTGTTATCTCTCATAAGCCTATAATCTTCTTCACTCAGGTTATTTACAAATTGATAGAAAGCCTCTTCCCGATCCAATCGGTCCATCTGACTTCTGCGTTGTGCTGCAGACTGATCGCCACTTCCTTTATCATTAGAATCTGAGTTTTCCATCTTGATGAACAAGTGGAAAATTATCTAAAAGGAGAAAAGAGACCAATCTTGAAAATAGAGTCACTGTGTATTCTATACAACAGTTATGTGAAATTGTGTGAAAATCCAGAACACGGGCTGAGATGTAGATTTTAAGACCTCAACTGGTTATTTCAAGACAAAAAATTGAAAAGCACTGTTATAGTCAACATTCAGTATCCTTGAGGGATTGGTTCCAGGACCTCCAGATACCAAAATTCCCAGAGGCTCTTAAATAAAATAGCATAATATTTACATATAACCTATGCACATCCTCTTGTATGCTTTAAATCATCTCTAGACTATTTATAATGCCTAATTCAACGTAAATTCTTATTTTAAATTTGCTGGAGGGTGTATGTAGAGAGAAATGGAGGGAGGGGCTGAGAATGCACACTCCATGAGGAATGGTCACATTGCAGTTTCTTTCCCTTCATTTCTCCCTCCTTTCTGGATTTTGAGCATGCACAAACATGTGCCCAGCATATTCCTCAAGCCACCAGGCCCAGGACTCAAATTGCACAGTTGGCCATGTGGATCCAGCCACCTTAACCACGATGGCACTGGCTGCCCAGTTTTTACACTTTGAAAAGGTTAAAAAATAATATCATGTGACGTGTTAAAAATCACATGAGATTCATATTGCAATGTTCATAAAAATTTTACTGGAACACAGTTATACACATTAATCTATGTATTGTCAGTCTACGGCTCCTTTTGTGCTATAATGGCAAGGCTGGGCAGTTGTGACAGACTGTATGCCCCTCTCTCATTATTTTGCACTGGTGCTCTGTGCGGTATAAATTACAGTGATATAGTTATAACTTGACAGCATTTCAAGTGCCATGTGTATAATCATACTGTGATATTTTAAAAAATTACCAGTACTCATATCAAAGAAAAAAGCAGACTCTGAATATCATGCTTAAAAAGCATAGCAAAGGGCAAACTATTTTTTATTATCAGATTAAACAGCAAAGACCGCATTCATTATATGGCACTAACTATGCTAAAGTTAATACAATATACAATACATTAACATTAATAAGACTAAACAATCGCAATATTCCCAATTCACAGGAAAGCCACAGAATGAAAATTAGAAAATTTCTCATAGTATATTTCTCCACAAAAATGAAAATAGGGACCAGCAGTTAGCGTAATGGTTATATCGCTAGACTCCCATGTAGTCGACTACGGTTCGAGTCCCGGACCCGGTGGCTTAAAACTCACGCTGTGTGCGGGCGGTGCCCAAGATCCCGAGAGGAGAATGGAGAAGGGATTGCGATGTGGCCATCCCCCCTGGGGGGTGATTTCTTGCTTTCTGTCTCTCTGTCTGTCTGGTGAGTGCACGCGCCCTATGGCAAAAACCTCTCCCAATAAATAAATAAATAAATATAAAAGAAAATGAAGCTTCAGCCAAAGAAACTTCCAAGTGGCTCATTTATTGTCTAAACAAGGAAATCCATTTACCTATAGTGAGCTAGTAAAATTGTGATTGAGTGTAGAAGCTGAAGAAGTAGGTCTAGAAAAAATAAACTTCTTTAAGAATGTTTGACCTTTTTGTGAAAACTTGAGGATATTGGAAGCCATACTACCCATCAACTGAAAAACAATGCGAATGAATGAATGGTTTTATCCCTGGCTCTGAGTCAATGAAGTAACTGTTCAGTTTTTGTTTATGCTGAGTTTGAACTGCAGAAGTAGCCTCTATGAATAATCAGTGTGAAACAACTACAGGTAGGAATATTTCCAAAGAACTTGAGAAAATACCAATTCAGCACAATCTGAAGTAGAACCTGCTAAGATTTGTTACAAATGAAATGGTAATATGTGTAGAGTGGAAAAAGACCTAGTAAAACAAGTTTACAAGGCTTATGAAAATGTAGGATGTTTAAAGCCCATGGTTATCATCATTTTATTCATCAGCAGGTACTCTGGAAAAAAACACCAGATTCTATCATGTTATTTAGCCAACAGTGTCAATGGTGAACTTCACCTTGCAGACTTAACCATCATCAGTTCTATGATTTTTTGTGAGGAATCTTAACTTTATTACACAGCATTTTTTAAAAAGTCTATTTCTATGAGAGACAGAAAGAAATAGCAGCCAACAGGTTCCCCACACAACAATCCACCCCCAGTCCCAGCCAGCCTGTATGACAGGCACACATGCAATCTGGTGTGCCAGGGAGGTCCTGGGAAGTGAACTCTCCCATGTGGCTTCAGTTGCACCACCGCTCAGCTACCACACAACATTTTGATGGCTTTACATTGGTAAAGCTGATTGTGATCTCTTCCACTAAGAGCAAAGAAGAAACTTTTTCCCAGATTAAGAACTGCCCTTGGGAACCAGCAGTTAGCGTAATGGCTATGTCGCTGGACTCCCACGTAGTCGACCGCGGTTCACGTCCTGGACCCGGTGGGTTAAAACTCAAGCTGGGCGCGTGTGCGTGCGTGCCCAAGATCCCAAGAGGAGAATGGAGGAGAAGGGATTGCGGCGTGACCATCCCCCCGTGGG